TACATACCCAATTCCTGCAACCGTTCTTCATATGTTTTAGACTCCAGCCTCCTAATCAGCTCTTCTCTGAACTCTTTCCAGAGTCCCAACATCTTTTTTGTATTGTAGTGACCAGAACTGGATGCAGTATTCCAATTGAGGTCTTACAAAGGCTTTGCAAAACTGTACTATTCATTCCTCCCATTTACATAAGGAAAGAGAATTCCACATATCACTTATAAGAATTTTACTAAATATTTATTTTCAATTGGTTTAATGAGAAAGAAAGAAAGGGAAAAAAGAGGGTTTATTTTCAGGGGAGGGCTTATTTTAGCTCATGCGCTCAAAAGTCCGATTGGCCTTATTATCCTGTGAGAACTTATTTTCAGGGAAATAGGGTACTATGTTTTATTTTTTGTTAATTATCTGAACAGAAATGTTCCACTTTTAAACTTCATGCATCCAGTAGTAGGGAAAAATCCCCCTAATGGACAAAATGTTTTATCTATTGCACACTTTGCTCTTGACAATATAACAATTGTATCCAAAATAGCTTTTCAGGGATAGAAGTTATATATTTGAAAAATTTGTGACATCTTTTTAAAAAGTGTGGTGCCCCCAAATAGTGAAATCAGTCAGTTTTAGATCACATTCATTCACTGGGACAGTGTGCTCATCTGAAATGATTAGACATATGTTTTGCTTTTGTTCAATGTCTCTGAAATGACAAAGATGTACTTTCTAAAGCAATCCCAGGATCATGAAAATATAAAATAAATATTCTTGTTGAAAATTATAAAATAAGAAAAGCCTTCACAATTGTGTATATTAGTTTCACTTCACTGCTTTTAAACAACTTCAGTGGAGCTTTAATCCACTTTTGTCTAAGTTCTTAGTCTGGAAAGAATGTGTTTAAGAATAAAGACACTGTTAGTGTTACTGAACTTTTCTCTCATTCACTCACTCACTCAATTTTCTTTTAGCAAAACTACACAATAGGGATATAAAAACTCAATTTCTGCTGAAAGTGAATTTGTACATTCTGCCCCCATGAAAAGAAATGCATTAAAGGGAGAAAAAGTTAAGCTACTAATACTTGGACCAAATAGTAATAGCCATGTTTTTAAAATGCTTATTTTGGAAGAAAAAATCTTTTTAAGACATTCATGAAAACATATATCAGAGTATAGTAAAAAAAAAAAATTCATTGTTGTTTTTCCTTAAAAGAGATCCTTGGATATCTTATGTGGCTAGTAACATAAATATAATAAAAATGCATTCAAAACTTTAAGATGGTATAAGACTTGCCAAAATATGTTACAATTTTCTACAATATGTACAAAAAAATCTGTAGTGAAATCTGTGTTTCACTAACAAGGACTGTAAAACAGAAACAGTAAGAATTTGTTTTTTCGTGAATACATCCATTCAGTTCTCGGTCATTTTTGCATTTTCTCTGTTTTTTTAGTTATTTGTGTAAGAAATACCAATATACACTTTTGTATCTTAATTATGCAAGCACAGCAGCAAAATGTTTCACAGAAATATTCCTACATAGACCCTTATGTCTCTCAAATATATAGAATGAGGATACTAACACAGGAATCAATTGCTTCCAGGCCAGGGAGAACAGTTATATAAATATTGAGTACATCTCCCAGTCCCAAGGCCAAGAAGAGACCAGGCAAATTTCCATTGACTTTTTAAAAAAACCCTAGAATTTAAATCTTGGATCAGACCGATACATATGCGTGCATATATGCCATGATTTTTGTGCATTTTAGTTTTCAGATCTTTTTCAAAGATATGGCTTTATTCTTGTCTGTGATAAAAGACAAGGGCTGTTGTTAGCTAGTTCCTGAGTATAGGGTTAAGTGTCTGGAAAGCTGAGATTTATTGCTATGCCTGCTGTGATATCAAATGCATTCATTTACTATACCTGAGTGCCAAGTAATTTAGTATTAGCATAGAGGTCACCCAAAATCCTACTTGCTGCATAAATATAAAGGTAAAGGTGCCCTTAAATCAAGCTTGACTCCTGTAACTTCCTTTAAAATAACTTTGTCATTTTTTTGGCAGCAGAATGGAAACAGTTTGCATTGCTATCCAGCCTACAGGCCTGGGATTTCCTGCTACTCTCCCATCCAAGTATTAACCAGGCCTGACCCCGCTTAGCTTCCAAGCAAAAACCCGAGGTATCACTCTTTATGTACTAACTAAAGCTAAAAAGCAAGGGGGAAAGTTGAAATGTCTGGGAGTTGATGGAGTTATTCTTTGTTTTACAGAATGAANTTCCTTTTCTGCTCTCTCTCTTTCTTGCCTCTGTTCTTCTTTCCTGTTTCTTTCCTTGTCTTCTGATGTTTCTTCCTCTTGACTTCTACTTTCTACGTCATCTTTACTTCCTCGTTCTTCTTCCCCTATGCAGTATTTTTCATAGAATTCCTGCACTTCTTCTATATTCTCTATCTTATATCTTTTTCCTTGCTAAGATACAAGTACCCCTTCTTGTACCAACCATCTGTATATTATTCTGTTTTTATGTAACTGATTTGTTAAAAATTGGTATTGTCTACGTTGTTCACGAATTCTCCATGGAATCTGTTTAAGCGTGATCAACTCTTTTCCCTGGAATGAAATCGTCCCTTCTCTGGTTTTTTTGTACACTTCATCTCTAGTTGGTTTTTTGGCAAATCTTATGTGCACTTCTCTCAGGAGCCTATGTCTTCTGGCATAATTAGTATGCGCACAGTAAGCTTCATCAATGTCCACTCTCAACTCTTGTTCTTTTCTCTGTAGAATTTCGGTGAAGATTTTGATCATTTTTCCTTTCAGGTCTTCCTCCTTCTCTTCTGGTATGTTTTGGAATCTTAGATAGAATGCATCTGGAATGCATCTCAATATGACTTCTATCCCTTATGTTCCTGAGGCTGCATGGTGCAGTCCCAGAAAATGCTATTTCTGGGACTATGCCACCCAGCCTAGGGATAATGAAAGATGAAGTGGCCTGCTCTCTTTCTCCAATGTGAACTCCAAACCTTTGGAGATCTACAAAATCAGAAGTCCCTGTGCTCAGTCATTCAAGCCCTAATCATCTCATGGCTGGACTATTGCAACACACTCTATATGGGGTTACCCTTCAAGAGTATTTGTAAGCTACAGCTATTACAGAGTGCAGTGGCACGGGAAGTGCTTGGGGTCCGAATGGTGGCCAATGTAACATCACTGCTCCATAAACTGCACTTGCTGGTGGTTTGCTTCTAGGTGCAATTTAAGGTGTTGGGAATTACCTTTAAAGCCTTTTGTGACGTAGGTCCAGGTTAATTGAGGGACTGCCTCATTGGGATTGCCCCATACCACCTATGCCGGCAGAAGAGGCATATTGCAGGCCCCATTGGCTAGGGTATTCTGGGTGGTATGGTCCAGGATAAGAGCCTTATTTGCCATTGCCCCTCTGGATGATAAAATTGAAATGATACACAATGTCTTAGCAATCAACGAACAGAAAATCCAGAACATCGAAATAAAAATAGAACAAACAATAGAACAAAGAAGATGGAAAAAATGGAGCTGGAATATAGACAAGTTAATAAGGAATTAGAGTTATCAATAATCCGACTTGAAAACAATGCCAGCACTCCACACACCCCCACCAAGATTTATAGAAAGACAGCAGCTCCAATCACATTTTAAGCCAAAAACACCAGCCTGAGGATGGTGAGTGAGACCTCGCTGAAATGTTGCCAAGACAATCTCAATCTTACACGGGAAAAGACCCGAATACAACAAGATCAGCATACCTACACCCGTGAAAATCTACAAACACACACACACACACACACACACACACACACACACACACACACACGTTCTTGTTGATCATGTCAAATTGGGCAGTTAGGAAGGAAATGGGAAATCCCAGAATATCTGATTGTTCTCATGCAAAGCTATACACAGATCAGGAAGACACAATCTGTACCAACATAGTAAAGGAGACTGGCTCCTGGTCAGCAAAAAAATAAGACGTGGCATATGTTCATTTTATTTATTATCAATATGATATACGTATATTGGAGAGCGATTAGATTGGCATAAAATAGGCATGATTTTAAAACTGGAGGAAAAAACATGAATAACCTATGTTAATAATGCTTTTTTGATAGTTGAAAATGCAAGGCTTTAGTGATAAAAGTCCAGGAACATAATGATTTTTTTTAAAATTACAGTTAAATATAAAGAATACCAAGGTAACAAATAGCTTTTAGAACTGGCAATTAAGATATTTAGATAGCTTTTGCTTTTTGTATCAGTTCAGTAGTCAATTTTATATTATACAAAAATATGAAACAGTCAATAAATATGCCATATGCATTCAGTAGAGCACTGCTTTTCAACCCATGGTATGCGTACTTCTGCATTTGGCAGGTTGAAAAGCACTAAAAAAAAGTGGTAAAAGTGGGGGGATGAGCTAAAGCAATGGTAGTGCCATACAGGCAAAAGGAGAGTCAGCTGGAGCTGCGGCATGGCCGGGGTTCTGCTGAGCACCCAGGATCTGTGTGCGCAGCTCCAGTTGATTGGTGCTTCTGAGAGTAGCACACATCCTTGGGGAGAGGAGTCAGCTGAACTGCACCAAAGAAAAAAGGAGGAGGAAGGTGGAGAGAGTAAAGGATATAAAAGGAGTTTATGGGGATCACATGAAACACCGCAACCATCATAAATATGAATCAGTTGCCAAGTATCCGAATGTAAATTACGTGACCTTGGAGCTGCTGCTGCGTAGTCATAAGTCATTTTTTCAGTGTGGTTGTAAGCAAACTATTGTAAGTCATGAACTACCTGAACTACCTGTACTTTATCACTTTTTTCCTTTTTGGGGGGTGGGTGGGTGTCATCAAGGTTTTGACACCTTGCTAGGCAACTAGTGGTACTGAAATATTTCTATAACATAAAACTGGTACAATCTGTGAAAAAGTTGAAAAGCAGTGCAGTAGAGAAGCTGTTAAAACCTTGGAAAAGCAAGAGGAAAAGATGACTGGACTCAGATGGGCAATGGGTACATTATTAGAACTCCTGAAGGATAGCTTTGGAGACAGATCATCACAGAGACAATCTGTGTTCTTGCTAAGAGTTGACACAGATTTGATGGCACATAATCAATAAATCAATCATTTTATAAAGCCGATTGGAACCAAGCTGTGGTGAGTGTGTGTGCACGCATGCATCTCCTCTTGCATAAGCAGCTGGCAAGCGCATGGACTCCTTGCGGATGGGTGTGCGTGCCTGCTGCTCATTCAATGGATCTGCACATGCACATGTGTGCTTGCTTCCCACTTGCCTCCCCCTTCCCACTGGTCCGCAAAGGCAGTAATGTTGGTGAACTCCAATTTAGGGTAATCTAAATTTGGAGATTAGTTAGACTTGACCTGGGATATACAGATGTCATTTTAAAGGTATTGTTTTATAGCCTCCAGTGATATAGTACCACAACAGCAAGCTGTTCCACTGGTTAATTGTTCTTATTGTTAGAAATTTTATCTAGAATTTTCCTTAGGTTGCTTCTTTCCTTGATTTGTTTCCATCCATTGTTTCTTGTCTTGCCTTCTGGTGCTGTGGAAAATAAGTTGACCTCATCTTCTTTGTTGCGGCCCCTAAAATAATGGAAATACTGCTATCCACTGCTGTCCACTTTCTGAGGTTCAAACTGTTCCCAATAAATCGACAAGACTCTTCTCCAGGCAGCTTTCCTGGACCTAGAATAAAGCCAGCACCCAAGGAATTAATCCAATTTTATGCAACAGAAGCTACAAAATTCCTCCACATTCCCATTAGAGGCATGTGTCATCCAAAGTAGGGCTGCAGGAAAGCAACCTGCAAGTGCAATAAGGATAGAGAAGTACTGGTATTTCACTGCCTTTAGTGCCACAAGATAGGCCTTAATGGCAGCACTGACTCATATCAGATTAACTAAATTATGGTATCTATTTTATAAATGTATCAATTTCTGTCTTAGTAGATTCAATATTAATTGCATTCAATATTAAATTGGGGTCATTCTCAGCTGCAGAGTGTTGCCACATATATTGCAAGCTATTAATAAAAAAGCAGCTTTATAAATATCATGAAAGCAATTCTACAAGGAATCATAGTTGATTTCTGCTACCCATTTAAATTTTGTATTTTCAAATTTCAACCCTGGAGAAGAAAATATATTTAGATCTGATGCAATGAAGATCTTTCCAAATAAATTCCAGTGCAATACATTCCATTTATTGTATCACCTTAATTTTTCTTCAAATCAGCTGTATAGGAAGTTGAATTTGGCATATGTCCAAAGTGTGTTGGGCTTTTGGGACTCAGACCTCCAAAAGCATATTTTTCCAACAGGCTCCCCAATGATGAAAACACTCATGAATCAAAGTCTCTCTGGATTAAGGAACTTCAGGATGGGTGGGAGAAAGGTAACTTGAATGCAATATGGTTGTTCCTTTTATGCTGCATCAGAAGAATGAATCCAGTAAAAATCTCTCCTTTCTTCTTCAGTCACCCCCAAGTATTTCTAACTTCTTTTCTTCTTATTAGAATACATCCATTGATGAGCACCGCACAAGCGATCCTCAAATTTTAGATGAGTAAATTCTTTTAGGCATATTGATTATATGGGCTGTACACATTTGAAGGAACACTAGATAGCAATGGTAATTTCATGATCTAATTTGCTGCCATCTACTAATCATCTGAAGCTGTTGCTCAAATTTGTTAGGTCAATTTTCTTTATTACTTCAAAATGAAGGAGGAAAATGAGTGCAAGACTGATAGCAGTTTCTTAGAAAGGTATCCAGACCCCCAAGTCTTTTACTGCTAGTACATATACAGGTTATTATTGCAACAATAAATTTAGTACTATAAAAAGAGGAGATAATAGTGCCAGCACACTCTCATTCCTCCCCATTTGTCTGTGCTATTGCTGTTCCAAGTTCATGGTTGGGCCACTGTGTCTGTGCTACAAATAACTGAACACCATTAGATGTGGCAGCAAAGAAGTGGAAATTCATGCAATCAAATTTGTTGAAAGTGTGGTGTAGGAACCAGACAGCAAGAGGGAGTCCACTGGATCCCTGTGTTTGTGAACTCTGATAGCTGCTTCCCTAGCCTTTTCTATATATTGTAGATAACATAATTGTAACAGATTGACTGCAATAATGTCCCATATTTGAAATTGTGTTTAACCTTAGTTCCATTGTATGAAAAAAAAATAGTGTTATACTCCACAAATACTAAAATAGCTTTGTTAAAATGACAGTTTTGTTGTTACATTTTTCTCCTTAGCTCTGCCACAAACTTTATGAGGTGATAACTAAATTGGGAGAGCAGCATGCTGACAAAGCCTTCACAATCCTTGGGGCACCCAGGTAAAAAACTTTTATCAAACGGCAGCTAAATGTACAAATAATATGATCTGATTATTAGACAGAGTAAAAAAAAACAGCTGATAGTAAAAAAAAACATGTATTGAATATGTGTGTTCATCTTTTCAATCATTTTTTCTCTCTGCATTAAAAGGACACTTTAGTTGTTAGAAATTCAATATAATTTTGTAATGGAAAGAGATTGTATATTTATTAGAGATGATTAAGGGAGCCATTCTTGCCAGTTCCAGAGCAAACTGACTTCACTGGTAATTTCCAATTCATGTGCAGTTCAGTAGGCAGTCATCATCTGGATTTCTTAGTTCCCCAAATTTTGGCAGCTCAAAGGAACTAAAATAATAAAAAATATGTATACTATATTTGGAGATAATGTATTAGTAATGCAATTTTCATATTCCTTTTTGTAACAAATATAAATGAATGCAAAATGGATGGGATGCATTCAGCTGGGAAATGAGAGCAACCTATAGGGAGAGGGAGCATTTTAGTTATTGCTTTGCTTCGTGGAGATTGTATCTTCTCCTCTCTGTGGTCTCTGATTTCCAAATGTGGGTTTGCGTCTGGACAGAGAGGCTTCTAGAGTTTGGTGGGAATCACCCTCACCCCCAAATACTAGGTAGAGCTCCTATCAATAGTAATTTCAGCAAACTTCCTTTAAGATGTTCTTTTGGCATAGTTATTTTGGCAATGGAGACTCAATCTTCCACCCTAATCCAACACTATAATCTGGACTTCTCAGAGAGATGCTGCTCCTAGAAGAAATTCTCCTTTCTTTGGTAATTTGATAGCAACCAGATACTCCTTAGGTATAGAGCTCATTCATGATAAAAAGAACTAATTTCTTACCTGTAACTGTAGTTCTTGAGATGATCATTTATTAATTAATGGAATGTAGACTTCTAATTGAGATGATAATTTCATGGTTCCCTAAATTTTCTCAATTAGTCTTAAGAACTGGAGGACCTTGGTAAGAACTGTGGTTGGTTATATGATTGCAGGAAGATATCTAAGCTCTGATCAATGATAACTGTAGTTTGTGAAGCCAGAAATCATCTCGAAAAATGATACTTCAGTAAAACTGTCAAGAAAACTGGATGAATGTATTCATGAAATCATCAGGAATCAAAGCTGAGTCTACTGGTCTACATTAGACAAGGTTCAAAAACAACACAATGTGTTCACCTACTAAAGGCAAAATGTAGTTATTGTACGTGATAGCTAGAGACAAGCTTTTATTTCTTCATTGAACTTTTGCCAGTACTGAAACAATCTGAAACAATTTGTACTTTCACATGTTATTTTATGTATTGGTATGCTGTGAACATTTCCAAAGTTAGACCTGTTTCATTGACATCATAACTATTTTATAATTCATTTAAAAGGAAAATATTAGTAAATAGTTAATCATTTCTCCAAATTTGCAAGCAGGGGAACAGGTAAATATCTTTGAAAAACACAAAGGAAATTAATTTTAAAAGAAAAATGTTTTCTTTATCGTTCCATTTTCTATTTCTTTATTTGCCTAAGTATGATATTATTAAATAATATAATACAAGAAGATTAATAGAATAAAAGATTAAGGTGTGTGTGTGTGTGTGTGTGTGTGTGTGTGTGTGTGAAAAATGGGAAATATCTTGCAAATTTCTTCCCAAGAAAAGTGTTTGCGTTAGTTTTATTAGACATACTAAAATTGTACCTATCATTCAGGATACCTTCATTATGTATTTGTTTTGTGTCATGACTGGTGTGTTGAATGACAGTATATTGATACTGTTTAACTGGCTGCATTATGTCTCCTCAACCAAGATGGGTTGGTCTTCATCTACTTTGATGCCTACCAGCATGATGGGGATTGTTCAGACTGGTTTCTGATTATGGGAAGTAAAGTCTATTTTATCTGAAGGCTAGGTGAAGAGTGGACTATGTAAATATTGCTTACTTGGGATTGGAGAACTTTTCAAATATTTTTAACAAGAAAACAACATTAAAGCAGCACCTAAATAAATTGTTGAAAGTTCTGAAGGTGATTGAGCTCAAAAATTTATTGCACTTTCTGAAAGCACATCACTTTTGCACCAAGCATGTTTACACAAGAAATATTTATAAATCCTATGAAGTCTCTTGTAGCTATACCTTCCTTGAAAATTAGAGGCAAATAAAATAAGAAAAAATAACATTTCCTTCTTTCTTTTATTAAAACTTACTCTTTTATATTTCTTCTCTTTCCATAGAAAGAGGTGGTGAGTGAAAATGATATTGCTCTGCTTTAGTATAGAAAACATGATTGAAATTTGAACAATCATGTATTACTTTAGTGCTTCACAAAGATGTTGAAAACCACATTTCTTCTTGTTGTGATGCTTTTAGAGTACAATAGTTGCATATATCTTCAGAATATGACATTAATATTTTTATAAATTATAAATCTTAGGTGGAGTTTGGGCACCTAACCCAAAATGATGCTTAAACACTCTTTAACATTGAAACTATAGTATAGTGAAACTTTACTAAATAAGTGACTAGCTCAATGGTTTTCATTTCCAAATGTATTTCTTGTTATAGCTTAAAAGCCAAGGGCCATAATATGTACTTTATAATGAAATGTATATTAAAAGTAGGACATGAAATATAAATGGTAATACAGAGAGATATAGAGAAATGATATTTTCTAATAAAATCTGATGAGCATTGATATTCAGAAATGAAAGTTAGCAATGCCATATAATCAAATATTATGCTCAGAGATCAGTAACAAAGTTGGAAGCGACCTTGGAGATCATCTAGTCCAACCTCCTGCTCACGTAGGAGACCTGTATTAGGGATTCGAACTGCCGAACTGCCGACTTTCTGATCGACAAACTCAGTGTCAACTGATTCACCTAGTCAGGCAATGAAATCTGAATGTTGATTCTTCACATGTCAGTGCATGAAAAATAAGAAAGTATGTATATCTTTATAGATGTTCATAAAATTAAGCTAGGACTATACTAAGGGCTCACATCCACTTCATTTTGTATAATGTAGGAGAAGTTGGAAGTAGACTCGCAATTGGAAAGTGATCATAATACAATACTCCTTACTCTCACATTGCACCAGAATTCTCTAAGGGCAGGCNATCCTAGGAAATATTGAAAAGGCAGAATATTTCTCTGGATGTGAAAAGAAAGAAACATGTTTTAAAAGACAGAATAACTGCCTGCAGCTTCCTGCCCATCCCCACTTTGTTAAAGCCTGAGCTAGTCCACTTTACATAATAAAGAGTTCTCCCCTTCAGCTCCAGGGGGATGGGATTAAGGCATGATAATATTGGCCTTTACCCAACTCACCACATGGCATCTGAGAACTCAACCAAACCTGGATTCAAAACACAACCTAGAGAGTTGCCCCTGCATGGCCCCATGGGAATCTGACAACCAATCAGAATACAAGCTCAAGATCAAAGGCCAGAGAGGGCATAAAACAAGGGACTCAGCTTCTCTTCCTCTCTTCTCTTCTCCACCAACATTGAAGCATGTGATCACCTTTTCTGTTCAGGACTCAAGTCAGGTGGTCCTGTCCTCCATTAAAACCATATTTCCAAGCAGCCTCCATGTCTCCAGTGTCTTTTTCCCCACTTGGAACCGAACTCAGAAGGACATTTCTTCCAACAATGGTATCAATTGAATAAAGCATAGTTAATAAAAAAAAAAACATAGTGTGCTGCCTTTAGCAAAAGCTGCCTAGAAATCTTTTTACTGATGAACTGTCTGGAGTGAACAGATGATTAATTACAATAATATGCACTGTCCTTGATCCTACCAGCTGTGGTCAGATATAGGAAGTCCATTTGAGATACTGTTGCAAGAAATATCCATCTGATTCAATTCCAAGCCGGGAGAAAGACACTGTAAACATGAAGGTTGATTAGAAAGATGGTTTAGCGATGAACAAAACCACCAAGCACATGATTCTGGTGCAGCTGACCAAATGGAGTTGAGGCGAGGGGTGCTACACCTTCTCTTGGGCTTTGTACTTGAACTTCCTGCTCCTGTGCAAGAAAATGTATTCTATTGGCTGTTGTAGGGGACATAGCTGGCTCTGTAGGTTGTCTGAGCTCCCAGGTTTGCTTGAAGTTGGGACTGCTGATGCAATGAAGGAGAGTTCATTGTGGCTGAGGGCTAATCCTACCATTTTTTCTGACCTTGCTGCAGGGAATTTTTGCCTATGAATAGAGCTACCTAGATACTTGGCTTTTTTCAATAAGATCTTTATCTCTTAGGTGCTGGCATCTGCTGAGAGCTTTTAAGAAATGTGGGGGCTGCTTTAAAACATGTTTCTCCATTTCTCATCCAAGGAAATATAATATTCTGCCTTTTTTATTTCTCAAAATATTTCATTCTTCTAGGAGGGGTGGGTGGTAACTTTCTACAATACAAAGATCACAACATCACTGCACATATAAACACTAGGTCTTCTGTTCTCATGCATGAAGATTTTAATGCAGAATATTTGAAGTAATTTTATAATTCCACCAGATGTATTATTTTTGCTTTTAGATTTCTTAGCAGAAAATGAAACCCACAAATTAAATTAAATATTTTTGCTACACTCATATTCCTTCATTTTAAAAAATGCTAATTCAACTTGCCAACAAATGTGCTACGTCTTTTCCTTCTATTGGAGTAAAAATAGAGTTTCCAAACTACTCGAAGAATTAGGGTCAACGTTCTGTCTCTTGAAAGAAAGCACTTTCCGGAAAGAAACGATCCCAACCACGCACGTCAGTCAAACCCGTTAAGCATGCGTGGAAGATAGAACACATTGTGACGTCCGCGCAGACGCGCATGCTCTTAGCACCTTATCTGCAATGGTGTGGATCTTTTTCACGCTTGCAGTTGTGGGAACTTGTGGTGCTACGTCGTGTCATGTCAGCGGTTTCTAAGGCAGCCTTGGGGGTTTCTGTCCTGGTTTCGGGCGGAGTCATTATTGGTGTCCACGTCCAACAGAGACGTCTCAGAGAGGTAATGTCAAAAGATTTCTCACACATTACAAGCTCCTGCTTTCTCGTTGAATTTGGGAGCCATTTTTTTCCTCGAGTTTCTATTTCTATTCCATAGAAAAGCTATGGAGGAATCTGCGATTTTATATTGCTGTACTAGGGAAGTTGCAAAAAAGTTTTAAGAAGCATATGCAATTCCGTCGTTTCTCTTTTAAGAAAAAACGGCATTTAATGATTTTTTCTTCTTACCTCTTCTATGTAGAAAAGTAAGAGAGTTTCTAAATGTATGTTAGTACATTCTAACACTTATACTGAATTTGGACTGGAAGAAAATGCGAGGGACAATTTTACTTTTGCTCATCTTGAAGACTGTGTTGTAAGGTTTTTGTTTTCTTCCTAAAAATCTAAATAAGCCTTTATCATTTTCCTAATTAAGGTAACATAAAAAGCAAGCAATAACGTGTATCTTTGTATTATATTTTTTGTTTTTGGGTAGAGTTTACAATTTACAATAGCTTAACCTCAGTTCTATGCAGAGAGTGAAAGAAGAAAGTAACATTAAAATAGCAAAGTTAATTCCTCTTAAACATTTTGAAAATTAAACAGTGTTAGATAATGAGAAGTTTAAGTCAATGATTGTTAAATGGAGTCTTCGTAAAAGTTTATAAGAAATTGAAAAATTTCCTGGAAAGTTGGTTTCTGTTGCTCAACAACTGGATACGTGCAACTTATTTTTACTGCATCTTTTTTTGCTAACTTTTTTTCTGGTTTCTTGTTAAAACAATGTACCATACACAATAGTATTACAACTAGTTTCATTTTTTTAATTTTTAACAGTAATAGTACAAGTTTCATTTTTCTGTTAAGTCTCTTAATCTCTGATTAAAAGTGTAGCTGAAGCTTTTATGTTCTATTTTGTGCATATCCCAAGAATTACAGATACCAGTAATTCTCACTAATTGATGGCAGCTGGGACCAGCAATACCATCTCTACTTTTCATGGTCCTGACTTTCATGTGCCAACTTATGACACAGTTTTTTACCTGTTAGGCAAATCCCACATGCATCCCACAGTCTGGTTTTCATTTTGTCTCAGCCCTAGGAAGGAGACAATGGCAAAACAATTCTGAAAAGCCTTCCAAAAAAAGCTGCAGGGACTTGTCCAAACAGTTTCCACCATGATTGAATAGGAAAAAAAAAATTGCATAGATACTATATTTTAACCTAGAGAAACTGTTAATTGTTCTCCACTAGGCAGATATTGGACTGACAAGAAATGAGGGGAAGATCAGGGATATTGTCCAGGACCAATAGCTGCACCAAATTCTATGGAACAGCTTCCCAACAAGAAATCTGATATTTATGACTGATCCTCAGAGTTATAGCCCCTATGGTCATGTGATAAAAATTTAGACATTTGGAAGTTTGTCTGTGTTTATGACCGCAGGGTGCCCTTCAACTCTCCTCACCTGTGTAATTTCCCCTTCCAACTCTGCTTTCCTCCACTGCTGTCTTTTGTCCTTGCTGCCCTGAAACCTACCCACATCTCAGTGGGAGGAAGAAAATGGCAAAGGTAATCTGCGGGTTGTGAGGGCTGCAGGATGGAGTACAGAGTGGTGGAACAGTAGGAGCAGTGGAATTCAGAATGACCCAAAAGGCAGAGATGAGAAGAAATGGGTTGGGAAAGTTGAAGTGAAAGGGAGCATGCCAGGAAAGAATAAGCATGAGGTCCTTACCTAATGATAGCATAGTCTTGGGCTAAAAACTCCAACTAGGACTACCAAAACTACTGTTGCTAAATAGTGTGGTCACGTGATGTTTCACCTAACAGATATTTCTCAAACAACAATTGAAATGGAGCCTTACAATTCTCCTTCTGTGCTCTTCCCAGTGTGGTCAATAAATGGACCTGGGGGCCTCGAAGGAGGCCTTGGGAGACATAATGCAGATCCTTCTCCGAGCCTCCCAAGGCCTTCCCCACCCCAAGGCATCCTGTGCTCTGCTTCCTGCCCTTGGATCTGTTTCCCACCCACAGACCCATATTCTCCATATTCAACCATTGCATAGTTACCTTTCGAACATCTCTAGAATTTGTGTTAGGGAAGCAAAGCAGGTCTCATTGTTTCTGGGCTACATGGTGCAATCCTGGAAGTGGCTGCCATTTTCAGGTAAGCTGCCTTGAATAGTGGACACTTGGAAAATGGTGGCTGCTTCTGAAATTGTGCCATGCAGCCTAGACACAATGAAGCCTGCTTTGCTTTCCTAACATGAGCTCCAGAGAGCTTCAAAAGGTAAGTGAGGAGGGTGTGGGGCCTGGAGGGGCGGTTGCAGGCCCAAGGGCTGTGGAACCTGACGGGGAGATAGACAGGAAGGCGCAGATGGGTCCTTGCAGTCAATCATAAGGGCAAAGGACTGCTGGGGTGCTGCAGGAGTCATGATTTTGGAACTAAGTCAGCTTTTGGGGGGTCCACTGTAATTTTGAGCAATCACTAAATGATTGGTCTTAAGTTGACTACCAGTAGTTCTTGACTTATAACCATTTGTTTAACAATCTTTCGAAGTTTCAGTGGCACTGAAAAAAGTAAGTTATGATCAGTCCTTGTATTTACAACTGTTTGGAGCATCCCCATAGTCATGTGATCAAAATTTGAATGCTTGGAAATTAGCATCTATTCCAGTGTCTCAGAGTTATGTGATCATCATTTGTGACCTTCACAGCTGGCTTCTGACAAAGTCAATAGAGGAATTCATTTAATGATCATGGGATTAACTTAACTTCAATGAATCAGCTAACAACTGGGGCAAAAACAGATCATAAAATAACACGCAAATCACTTAAAAACCACCTTACTTAACAATGGACATAGAAAGCTGTAAGTCAAGGACTACCTGTATATTAGTAGAGGTAGTCCTCAATGTATGGCCACTTGTTCAATAACCATTCAAAATTATGATGGGCCTGAATGAAGAAGCTTATAACCTGTGACCTCAATGTTCTTCCCAATATGATGAGGTAGTTGACCCTACTGTATGTGAGTCAGCTGATAGCTCTGCCAGGTCTCAGGAAGAAGGCTTGGTGTAGCCAGCAACTGCTTCACATGCAGTAGGGTCAGGCCTGGTGCATCTTAATAGTGAGAGGAAAATAGCAAAGACCTACTGGTTGTGGCAGAGCGGCTGGGTTGGAGCACACTGCACTGCTGGGCCAGTCAGGTAGCTGATGTGCCTGAGAGTTACTCCATGCTGCTGACCTGGGCTGAGATGGCTTGAGGCTTCCAGAGATGGCTGCAGCTTTGTGCAGCACTACAACTTGGGCATCTTGCACTGTACCATATCAAGAAGCCCTTGAGCCAAGCATATTCTTTCCCAGCCTATTTGTGCTTGTGGCATGCTGCAGCACCCCCATTTTGCACATACCTTGTGCTGGGCCTCCCCCTGGCCTCCTGTACTCCTGTGCTTCTTACTGAAAGGACCTCATCTAGAGCTGCATGACATCTTGTTTATGACCATGTTGCTTAGAGATGGAAGTTTGGTCCCAATTATAGTCCCAAGTCAAGGGCTATTGTATTTTTTGCTTATTGTATATATTTTTATAAGTATCTTTATGGATCTGTAATTAATTAATATTGTATAATGATGATGATGATGATAATAATAATAATAATAATAATAATAATAATAAATGTATCTGATAAAAACATACATTGCAATATATATTAGTTTTGAAGAATTCTTAATTTTATAGCAAGTATGATGGATCTTTTCCAATCTTTTAATAATAATATATCTTTTTTCAGAGGTTACATGAAGGCGTGTACAGAGACCTTGAGAGACAGAAATACAAGGAACATTTTAATCTTTTAGATAAACATACCACTTTGTCCATACAACTTGAAGGAGAGAATAGCAAAATGCTAATGGCAAGAAAACCCCAAGCGTGAAAAGAAAGAGATTCGCCGTAATTTTCTGTTACATAATTTAATTATCATATTTACCAAATCAATCGTTATTCTGATCATGCTTTTTAAAGAAGAAAACATTTTTATATAGTGAAAATAATTCTCCATAGGCATAATGGACAAAAATGCATACATGAGTGACATGATGACTTGTCATGATGATGAAGCTACAAGAACATCTCCTTCAGAAGGACTGGAAGAGGGGGAAGTAGAAGGAGAGACTCTTCTTATAGTAGAATCTGAAGATCAGGCATCAGTGGATTTGAGCCATGATCAAAGCGGGGACTCTATGAATAGTGATGAAGGAGAAACATCCTGGGCAGAGGAGATATCTTATTACTGTGAAAGATGTCAAAAATGGTTGCCAGCAAGTAAGACTTCTTAATTATTTATATTGTGTCCTTTGTGAATTTGAGTTTCTCAAACTTGCAGTTATTACTCTGTTTTACACATAAGCACACTTGTCCATGTAGTATTCAGTTCTACCCACTTGGTGTTTTTTAGAAATGATCAATTAGCTTTCTATGAACTCTAGAAACCTGGAGATATAATACTTCTTGAAGTAAACAACATTGAAATCGCTTATGCTTGCTTCAAAATAAATGACACAGTTCCCGGTCCTCTTAAGACACAAATAAATTGTTGCATAGCAAATAGCATTTTAAAAAGCCTTAAACATATATTAGCTATTTGAACTTATTTTAATCAACATTTCTTTGTTGCATGGCTGAGAAAATACTTCATTCTATGAAAAGCCATTGAGAAATTCAAGGACTACAGTGTTTAGATGTTCAGAAAGATTCAGAAAGGCAGCAATCACAAACCATTCCTTTCCTGTATTAAGAATATTCTATGAAGTCAGGGCCTTCAAAATAATCATTTAATATTTATTTGTTAATTTTTATGTAGGCATGCAGTTTCCTTCAGGTGTTTAAATTGGCTTGCATTTCCCTTAATTTTTATCACAACAATCCTATGCCCAAAGTTACAGAAATGAGTTTACACAGTTGAGGAAAACTTGAATCAGGTACAATACCTTAATTAATAATTAGTATCTCTCCCAGCCTCAAGGTAAACAAAGTTGGAAGACAGACAACTTTTCAGGCAGACAACTTCTTTTCCCAATTTAATCATTTTTATATGCATTATCAAGCAAAATCAAACATAATGCTTTCTATTCAGGAGGCTTATAGAGTGCTCCTGGGAGCTGGTGAGGGCAGAAATGAGCAAAAAAAATTTGCCCCCAGTCCCCAGGAGCAGTCTATAAGCCTCCTAAAGGCTATTCATGGTCTTTTTTTGTGTGTGTGTGTGGGGGGGGGGGGGGAACAGGCCTGTTTTCGCGAGGTCTGCAGAGTGCAAAAACTTTTTTAAAAAATTTGCTTCTTCAAAATCTTGGTGCATCTTATACTCCGAAAAATACGGTAAGTGATGATTGTTGACTAGAAAAAAGGCTGCTGTAGTTTTAACTGTATAAATAGCATTCACATTACAGCAAAACGGTATGTACAAAATGCACACATCCCACCTAGAAAAAAAATGACCCAAACTAACATAGAGCCTTTGTATTTTTAAATGTACCCTGAAACTTAATACTGATAGAACAGAACACTGATGGGTAACATTTTTGTTGTTGGGTGCCAAAAATGCGAGCGAGCACACGTGATAGCACGTGTGTGTGCTGGCACCCATAATGCAAAGCGTGCCCCACATGTGTATGTGCATACAACATCCCCCCCACGCTACCTCCCACGTGCACCACACTGCTCGCCTCCAAGCTGAGTTTGGTATTTCCCCAGGGGAGGCAGTTTTTGCCCTTCCCAGGCTCCAAGAAAGCCTCTGGAGCCTGGGGAGGGTGAAAAATGGGCCCAACGGGCCTACTGGAAGTTCAGAAACAATCCATTTCTGGCTTCCAGAGGGCCGCTGGGAGAGGTGGTTTTCACCATTAATAATCTTATGGTTCAGGAAGCCATACTTTGTACTAGGCATTTACTACAGCATTTCAATTTCAATCAGAATAGAGCTGGAAGGGACTTTGGAGGTCTTCTAGTCCAAGCCCTTGCTCAAGGACTAGACAGGTGGCTGTCAGTCTTTTCTTAAAAATGTCCAATGATGAAGCACCTACAACTTATAAAGGCAAGCCGTTCCACTTATTAATTGTTCTCATTGTTAGGAACTCTCTCCTTAATTCCAGATTGCTTTTCTCCTTCATTAGTTTCCATCCATTGTTTTTTGTCTTGCCTTCTTGTGCTTTGGAAAATAAGTTAACCTTCCCTCCTCTTTGTGTCAGTCCCTCAAAATACCGGAATACTGCTATCATGTCGCCCTAGTCTTTCTTTTCTCTAGGCTATCCCTATCCATTTCCTGCAATTGTTTTTCATATGTTTTAGTCTCCAGGCCTTTAATCATCTTAGTTGCTCTTCTTTGCACTTTTCCCCCCCAAAGTCTCAACATTTTTTGTAATGTGACCAAAATTGAATGTAGTATTCTAGATATGGTCTTATGAAGGATTTATAAAGTGGTATTTAATGATTTTGATTCTATGCCTCTGTTTATACTACAAAGGATTGTATTAGCTTTTTTGGCTGCTGCCGCACACTACTGGCTCATGTTTAAGTGATCGTTCACTAGGACTCCAAGGTCCTCACAGTTACTGTTTTTGAGCCAGGTTTTGCCTAATATGTATTTGTATCTTTGGTTTTTCCTGCCTAGGTATTTTCTTCTCCACATTTAATTTCATGTTGTTTGATGGGGTCCATTGTTCAAGTCTGTCAAAATCTTTGAATCCTGAGCTTGTTTTCTGGGATGTCGGTATTCCTTCCAGCTTAGTTTTATTGGCAAATTTGATTAGTTCCCCTTCAATTCCCTCATCTAAATCATTTATGAAGATATTGAAGAGTACTGGGCCTAAGATGGAACCTTGTGGCACCTCACTGCTTACTTCCATGTAGTTGTAGTACCATTAGGGACAACTCTGAGTACAGTTTGTCAGCCAGTTACATATCCATCTGGTGGTGATGCTGTCTATGCCACATTTTTCTAGTTTATCAAGAAGTTGATTGTGGTCTACTTTATCAAATCCCCTGCTGAAGTATACTACCTCCACAGCATTTCGCTGGTCTACTAATTTAGTCACTTTGTGAAGGAATTAAATAAGATTGTTTGGCATGATCTGCTTTTAACAAACCTGTTCTAATTATAACTTTGTTTCTAGATGTTTGCAGCTCTGTTTTGAAATTATTTTTTCCAGTTATCTTCCCAGGTATTGATGTTAGGCTGATTGGCCAGTAGTTTTCTGAATCTGTTCCCCACCCCCCACCTTTTTTGAAGATGGGAACCACATCATTAACAACACTTACTGTGAGCACAAAAAACCACCGCACATATTAATCTTTAAATTAGCTGCTGGAAATACAAAGTACAAATTGCGTACATTCCTCTCACCCATCTATAATTTAATTGCATCCACTGGTGTACATTTCTGCCTAGTACATTATTTTAGAATATCTATAATTTTGCAGAAAGGCTGACTCATGTAATTGAGAGAGAAACAGTTAAGCACTATTAAGAATTGCCTTCTGTCTGACCGCATGATTAACTCTTTCTATCTTCACGCTTCATACCAGGATTTCAAAAAGTTAAATCAGGAACAGCAAGAACATGATCAATTAATTCTAGCTTAAGTGGTCAAAAGTTTGAAAAAAGTACAAGCCAAGGAATAACAGCTCAGTCACATGCTTGGACACTTTAAATACTTATGTTTTTTTTTCTGAAATTAAAAGAAAGTAGCATTATTTGTTCTGATTTTAGTGTAGCACTCCCAAACAAAAGTATTTGATTTTGAACATGTAACATCAAATAGCTGTTTTCAGGATGGAATCTTTTATTTGAAATGTTTTAATTAGCATGTAAATATTCCATAAATATTCCATAGTAGCATTTAGTATGTTTTCTGTATTCTATTAAGAAGACAGTAACAGATGCCAAGATTTCTGTTTGAGGGCCATTCTATTTCTATTTGTTATATTTTACTCTCAGGTACCATATTTTTCGGAGTCTAAGAGGCACCAAGGTTTTGAAGAGACAATTAAAAAAAACAAACGTTTTTGCACTCCGCAGACCTCCAAAAAATGGCCCATTTTTCACAAAAATGGGCCTGTTTTTTTTTTCTTTCAAAAAAAGGGCATGAATAGCCTTTAGGAGGCTTGTAGAGTGTTCCTGGGGGGCGAGGGGGCAAAAGCAAGCAAAAAAGCAGCCCATTTTTGGTTAAAAAAAGGGGGGGCATTAGGAAGCTTATGGAGTGCTCCTGGGGGGTGGGGGGGGGCAAAATTGAGCAAAAAATGGCCCGTTTCTGCCCTCCCCAGGAGCTCTCTGAAAGCTTCCTACAAGCTATGCACAGCCATTTTGGTGAAGGGGGTGGGGTTTCAGGAGGCAAAAAATGTTGTATTCAGTGTATAAGACGCACCCAGATTTTCAGTCTCTTTTTTGAGAGAAAAGAGTGCATCTTATACGGTAATTACTTTTTGAGAACCAGTTTAGTATAATGGTTAAGATATCAGGCTAAACCCAAGAGACGTTGAATTCTAGTCCCACCTTAGGCACAAAGTATATTAAAAATGTTTTTTTTTCTCCATTCAATCATGTGTCACTCTTGGACACTGCCTCCTGTCCCTGGAGTTTTCTTGACAAGGATTTTCAGAAGTGGTTTGCCACCTTCCCAGGGCTAAAATAGAGAAATATTACAATCAGAATCAAGTAATATATATGATAAGAGCCAGTCTGAGGTAGTGGTTAAGGCATCAGGTAGAGACTGGGAGACCATGAATTCTAGCCCTGTCTTCGGCACAAAGCTCACTGAGTGACTTTTAGTTAGTCACTTTCTCTCCAGCCTGCAAACAAAACAATAGCAAACCACTTTTGAAAAACTTTGCCAAGAAAATTGCAGGTACTTGTCTAGGCAACCTCCAAGAATCAGACATGATTGAACGGAAGAAAAAATACTTTATAATATAATTCATAATGAGTGACTGTTTTTGTGGAGGAAAAAAGGACTGATTTTTATTTATTTACAGGTCACACAAGAGAACAGATCACCTATCTTAAAGGTGATAACTTTTTCAAGTTTACTTGCTCTGATTGCTCAGAAGATGGGAAGGAGCAATTTGAACGGTTGAAACTAACATGGCAGCAAGTAAGTAGCAAGCTAATTAATAAAGTTCAAATAATGTAATAATAAAATAGTTCAGATTTCTTTAAATGTTAACAGAAGAATTTTTAAAATTATTTTCTTCAACACCCTTTTCAGTAAACAATGTTTAAAATATTTCTTTTTCTTCTGTATATGTTTATTTAAAGATTATTTAAATGTAAAAATAAAATCTGTACTTAAACAAAGAACAGAAAGAAGTAAATAGTGCAAGAAAAAAGAATAAGGAGATAGCCTTTATCGTAACTATAATGAAATTTAGTGATTCTTCACCTCTAAGGTTACAGACATTTTTTTCTATCACTTTTATCCCATCTCTTGTCTATAAATAAACCCATAAAACTTTCATCTATTCAGCCCTGATGTCAGCAGGTCTGTAAAGAGTTGCCATATCTCTTTACAAAACAAGATATGTCATATCTTGTTTTAATCTTGATCAAATCAACCAACTTTATATATATCTTACTTTCACTTCTAACAGCCTTAATTTTTAAATCACTCAAATATTGTTGTAGGATTCAATTTCTCTTCATTTCCTTTTTGTCCCATTAGACAGAATTTTTCAATACTTTTAACAAGCCTTTTTTGTAAATCCAGTAGGAAAAAATTATCAAGGTTTTTCTTGGCTTGTCATTTGCTTTTAGTACATTATATACCGCTTCACAGAGGGCTGTGGTTTACAGCCCTCTAACTGGTTTTCAGAGTCAGCATATTGCCCCCAACAATCTGGGTTCTCATTTTACTGACCTCAGAAGGATGAAAGGCTGAGTCAACCTTCAGCCGGGGAGATTTGAACTGCCGAACTTTCCTTTTAAATTTTAAATCCTCAGCCAATTTCTTTTGTAGATTCAGTGAAACGTTCTTTTCTAAATCATTCTCTTAGCCAATGAGTTGTAAATACCATTTCTGTTAAAAAAAAATCTATATCTGTCATTTCTTCAGTAAATGTTTTGGGCATAGTCTATCAATGCAGGTAATCCTCAAGTTATGAATGTAATAGAGCCTGCCAATTACATTTGTAACCCAAGAACTCAATTGATTGAATCATGTTGTTAAATGAACGTGATCCCTCCTGCTTTCCCCAATGCATTTCTTAATTGAATGCACAGGTCATTAAATGAGGTATCTTAGAGCAGGGAAGAGCATGCGGGATCTAGTGCTGGAGCAGGCCACCCAAGGCATCCCCCAATCCACTGAGACAACTCATGCTTCCCTGGGGACATCACAATTGCTTTCCCCACCGGGTCTCCACAGACTGGCATCCCAGATTCCACTTATTCCTCCCCACCTTATTTCCCATGGATTACTTATTTTTTGTAGAGCTCCAGAAGAGGCTGACTCACTGGCAGAGCCAAAGTGTTTTATTCAGTTGATGGTGAAGCTGTAAGAACGTGAAATCTAAGGAAAACATTTTCACCAGTTTCTGAGTAAAAAACTTCGGCTTGGGGCCATGTGGCCAGCAGGCCTCTGGTAGTAGAAAAGACCTGGACAGGGCCACAGCAGCCTCCTGCTTCAGGACAGCTTCAGGGATTGAGGCAGCGGCGGCAGCCAATCAACAAGGAACTTGCTTCCTTTGTCTCATTGGTTTGAACTACAAGCTCCTTGTTGATTGGCTGCCACACCCCGACTAGCCAGTCAGCAGCAAGCAGGAGGCTGCTTGACACCGGCCATACTGGACCCAAACTAAGCCTGCAGGCTCTCATGGCAGAGAAGCCAGCTTTTTATTCAGATGGGGGAAGTTGTTTTCCTTACATCTGACATTCTTACTGCTTCGTGGGCTTCTGAATAAAAGCCTTTGGCTTCTTTGGTCAGCCTCTTCTGGAGCTCTTCGAAAAGTAAGTACAGTAAGTACGGCAAGGCCCGTGGAGGGCTGAACGGATCCTTGGGAGGGCTGGATCCGGTCCACGGAGGCTCCGTTTTGGCCAAAAATGGGCTGGGGAAAGCCTCTGGATGCCTGAATGGGATTTCTGTTGGTCAGTCTGCACCTCAGAAACTCCATTTCAGCCGGCAACGTGCTAGGCTAGGCCTCTGGAAGCCCAAACGGAGCATCAGAGTGGCAGATCTGCCCCTCGGAAGCTCCATTTCAGCTGGCAACATTTAGGACAAATGTTGCAGACCTCTGTGATTGTTCGTAAGGGTGTATTTAGTATTTTGTTTATTTCAGATTCTTTAAATTTTAAGCTTATGAGTAAAATTTTCTTCACTCAGAATTGAAGTTACTCATCGAGTGTTTTCAGACTTGTCAGTCCAAAAATCTCCAGTAGTGTAGAAGTATTTAATGAGCAATTTCTGAAACTTAGAAAGTAAGGTTTTATGAACTTAATGTTATTTAGAAATCTCTACTGTGATTGTGAGTACGATGGCTAATCCATAGCCTCCCAGCCCTCAAACCTGCAGAAAATTACTGTCCTGTGGTGTCCTTGCAAAAAGTAACCATCCAGAGTACATGTGAGCAGCCTTCTGTCCTTTCTTTATATAGAGAAAGTTCCAAGGACACAGTCTACTTACTGATTCCTGGTCTTTACTACTGGTTCTGCTTTTGTGAAATCTTCAGTTCACCATACCTCCCCCCCAACCCCGAAGTCCCAGAATTAAAACATTTTAACTGTTGGTTATGTTGGTCTGTGCTTGTTCTCAGTGTAAACGGTTTTCATTTTTGAACATTTTTAATCTCTTCTCATCCCATTTATAATAAACTGTACTCTGCCATTCTGTAACTTGAATCCATTAGTTCATGCCCTGAATCAAGAATGATAGAACGGGGTATGCCTTCTTTTGTGTAGCAACCCTTTAAGATTTTGTTTATTTTAATTTTTTAAATTAAGATTATTATAATATAAATACACATGAAAATAAAGATAATGGGAAAACGCAAAGGGGAAGGAAAGGGAAAAAATTTGGAAGCTACAACTTGGATGGAATGTGTCCTTGCAAACAATTCTTAGGGCCCCTAGGATGGTCCATGTACCCCACTATTGTGTGAGCTTCAATGATGGCTAGTTTGATTCTGGTTCCAATTCAAAGCATTGGTAAAAGCCCTTTAAAGCCTTTAATGGCATGGCTCCAAGTTACCTGAGAAACTGTCCCACCCAATGGGATTAACCCACCCCACCCATGGTGGCAGAAAGGGCATGATGCAGACTGTGATGGTTAAGTAATTCCAGCTTGCAGAGTCCAAGAGAAGAGCCTTTTCTGCTAAGGCTTATGCCCTTTGGAACATTGTACGCTCTCAAGGTGAGATCCTCACCTGCTCTTGACCTTCCAAAGGGTCCTGAAGACCTGGCTCTGCCATTTGGCCTGTTAACAAACTGAGATAAGACCACACTTCCTCTCTGGGTGCATCTTGCTCCCTACCTTGCAATCTTAATTAATTTTTAAGTCAATTTTATTATCAATATTTATTGTTTTAATGTTTTGTCTTGTTGCTTTTTTTGGTTATAAGCTACCTAGAATTACTTCTAGGCAAGATGGGTAGCAATAAGTTTAATAAATAAAAGAGAAGTATGAGATAAATGGAAAAAAAGAAAAGCATTTACTGTATTTTTCGGAGTATGCACCTTTTTCCCTCAAAAAGAGTTCACAATTCTCACAATGGGGAATGGACCCACAAACTTCAGTCCCAGTTTCTTAGACTTTTGGGTAGTCTGTAGGTACTTAGTGGAGAGGAAAACCCTATCCCCAATTTGGTATTCTTTTGGCATAACTCTTTTTTTATCAGCCTATCTCTTATGTGCTTGGTGAGCACATAATGCCTTACGATTAATGGACCAGATGTACTGAAGTTGTTCAATCCACTCTGCCAGGGAAGGGTCTTGCAACTTCTCCTGGGGCAGTTCCAGGATGGGCACAAAGTCCTGACCAGAGACCACTTTGAATGGGGTAAAACCCGTGCTACTCTCTATGGAATTATTATATGCGACCTCTGCAAACAGCAGTAAGTTGGCCCAGTTATCTTGTTGATAGTTTACATAGCACCTGAGGTACTGTTTTAGAACTGAGTTAGCACGTTCACAAGCCCCATTAGTCTGCAGGTGGTGGGCGGAGCTTAGACCTTGGGCGGAGCCTAACATCTTCAGGATCTCCCTCCAAAAGTGGGAGGTGAACTGGACTCCCTTGTCCGAAATAATGTGTTCAGGAACACCTATACACATGTTGAATAAATAGTTTAGCTAATGTTTTTGCTGAAGGGATCTTGGAGCAGGGTATGAAATGCACCTGCTTGGAGAACAAATGTGTGACCACCCAAATGACTGTGTTTCCACTGCTCTCAGGTAATTCGATGATGAAGTCCATGGATATCTCTTTCCAGGGAGCATGAGGTCTAGCAATATTCTGAAGTAATCCAGATGGCTTCCCAGGTGGCCTCTTTGCAGAAGCACAAAATGGGCAACTAGTAACATAGGTCTCTATGTCCTTTTTCAAAGATGGCCACCAGAACTGCCGTTTAAGTGTAATGTCTTCACAAACCCAAAGTGTCCAGTAGCTTTCAAATAATGGCCCTGTTGTAACGTAACTCCCCTTAGCTTCACAGGAATGCACAACGTAGCCCCCACCTATGTGAGGCCATCATGAATCGTACATTAGTTTGAGTGAGACATGAACCAGTCATCAGTTGTTAGCGCTTCCTTCAGCCGCCCGGTTAGATTGGTGGATAGGTCCAGGTCAACCTTTCTCTGGGCTCTGGTAACAACAGGAGCAGCCAATTGCTTGGAGGGGATGACCTGGCAGATCACTTCCTGCCGGGCGCTATTATACTGGGGCAGTCTTGATAGGGCATCTGCCATAAGGTTTTTTCCTCCCAGGAAGGTAGCATAGAGAGAAATTGAACCTATTAAAGTGTTGTGACCAGCAAACTTGCTTGGGCGACAACTTCCGGGGTGTGGATGGGGTGGGAGCTCATCTGAAGCCCTTTCGCTGAATGGTTCCCTGATGTCCCAATATTCCTTAGGGATTTTCTCTGACCCACAATGCTTTTGCTCACTGCAGCTGCCAATTCCTTTGTAGCTTTGCCTTCAGGTGCTTTGGAGAGTAGCTTGACTTCATCTTCTTTGTGGCAGCCCCTGAGAGACTATAAAGAGACTTGTATGAGCAGCTTGGCAAAAAAGTTTAATGAGTTAAGATTATTTCATTTTTTAAAAATAGTTCTGATAATTCAAAAGCAATTATTGGGTCATTCATAAGTTGTTTCCAAGTTTGTGAAAGTTTAGGCAACCGTAGTCTTAACAAATATTCATCTATTTTAGACATATCTAACACCTGCTTTTTATACAAATTGGAATAAAATTAAGAAAAGACTTTAATAAGCTCATCTGTTATTACATTGTTGCCTTCACAGATTTTCTCAATCATTCTCTTTTCCCTTTCCTTTCTTAGTTTATATGCCAACCATCTTCCTGGTTTATTTGCAAACTCAAAATGTCTTTGCTTCACATAATTCAGTTTTATTTGTATTTCTTGAACTGTTAACATAGACAATTGTTGTAGTAGACGTGGCTGAAATGTCTGTAAAGGATCTTGCCATTCTCCTATGCGCTGCTTGGAAAGTCCAAGCATGGGTTATCTTCTGTCTATTTGGGCAGATACTGAAAAGTAAAAGCTTTGGCCATGCCTCTTCCTCTTGGCTGAGCACAGTTTTTACTTCTCAGTCTGGCTAGAGAGATACGTTTCTTCATTCTCCATGCTTGGATTCTCCTGGGACAATTCCGGGATGGGAACAAAGTCCTGATCAGAAAGCACTTTGAATGGAGTAAAACCCATGCTACTCTGTATGGAGTTATTATGTTCAATCTCTGCAAATGGCAGTTACCTTGCTGATAGTTTACGTAGCACCTGAGGTACTGTTCTAGAATCGAGTTAGCATGTTCACAAGCCCCATTAGTCTCTTTCTCTTGGCTGAGCTCAGTTTTTTCTTCTCAGTCTGGCTAGAGAGACACGTTTCTTCATTCTCCATGCTTGGATTTTTCAATTAGTGATCTTAAAAGTTTGAGACAGCAGCAAAGGAGCTATTTTAGTCTGGTGGCTCTTTCCCCCACTGAGATTAGGCGTGGCACCGTTTACAGGGATCGCTGCAGTGTTAGTATCTTTGGAGCCTTCCAAATGGCTTGAAGGAAACACTGATGCTGCTTTTCGTTCCGCGAAGGAGCACCAATTTATTAAGCCAAGCTCCACTCTATCTGGTTTTTAAGCACCTGCAGCCTGCCCCTTTGGTAGCAGGCATCACTATGCTTTGTGCATCGTCATTCAAGACCAAGGCTTCAATGTGCAAGACCGAGGCTTCTGTTCCTGATCCAGCTTGTATTTTCCTGTGGTGTTTGCAACCCATGTTGCCGGTTACCCCCATTTTTCTCTATTGCTGGCATTCACAATGAGTTCTTTTGCAATCCCTTCATTTTGTGAAGGTGCAGGCAAATTTAATTTCGGATTTACTAACCAGCATTACATTTAAGGGTGGTGTTCACAGGCTTGGAATTTGCCCCAAATTGGAATTTCTACTAGAGTGAGAAAATTCAGAAGCACTAACAGTCAGATTGTTTTCAAAATGGCGGACCGTTCCTTGCCTGCAAGCAGCAGCCCGGCTGAACCTTCCCCCAGGCAGCAGAGGTCTTCTTCAAGGGGGCCTTCAGACTAGTCCCAGGCCCCAGATTCAAGGAGGGCCTCATCAGCTTCTGAAAAAGCTGATGAGCTTCTGCAGGCTTCTTGTGCCGAAAACTACTGACCTCCGCTTCTCAAACGTGCCAAAAAAGAGCTTAGTCCCATCGCCCCCGTCACCGCCTTGTTCTTCACGTTGGCTGCACATGCATCCCCCATGTCTGCTGTGGCAGAAGAACAGGGCAGTGACAGCAGCAGGACTGAAGCTTTTTTTTGGTGCGTTCAAAAAGCAGAGGTTGGTAGTTTTCAGTGTGAGAAGCCTCCTAACCGCCGCCTCTTTGCCAGCTGGAACTGAACCAGCAGTGGTGGCTGCAGGCTTATGGCACTGAAAAAAAGAGGAGGAGACTGCAGGCGTATTGCGACAATGGGGCGAGATGCGGGCTGGTGGGGAGCCCAGTGGAGACAGCTTAGTCCTGGATTGCCTTGCCCTCTGCCACCAACCACAGGAGGATTAAGTAAGGGCCAGAGTCTCTGAAGGAGGGGAAACGGGGTGACATGTGGCAAAGGGAGAGCATGCAGCATGCAGGAGGAGGTCCCAGGAAGGCCGGAGCTGGCAAATGGCGCCGCACCTGCATATGTGGGACTGATTGGTATAGATTGCAGGAGTGACACTGAAATACAATTTTATCATATTTTATCTATGTCTTAAATTATTGTACTTTATTCCAATTTAATTTCAGACTGTATTTTATTCCAATTTCATTTTAAATCATATTTTATTCCAATTTCATTTTAAATCATATTTTATTCCAATTTCATTTTAAATCATATTTTATGCCAATTTCATTTTAAATCATATTTTATGCCAATTTCATTTTAAATTGCTTTTATAAAATTTTAGTAATAATTTGTTTCTGGAACTCTGTACTTTGATATCGCCCAAGAGCTAATCAATAAAGAAAGATGAATGTTTGGGTTTTCTGTAGCTTGAGATGTAATTAAATTGGGAAATTGAACATAGAATTGCATCAGTAATTCATCTTTGGGAATTTTTAAGTTTTATGACACAAAGTTTAGAAGGTTATTATATATAAGGAGATGAATTGTTTAAGGTGTTAATATTAGCATTTCTGTTTGTAAAATAGGTTGTCATGCTGGCTATGTATAATCTATCTCTAGAAGGAACTGGTCGCCAAGGTTATTTCCGATGGAAAGAAGACATTTGTGCTTTTATTGAAAAACACTGGAGTTATCTACTAGGAAACCGGTAAATATTACTAGTAATGTATACAGTAGTATTATCATTTAAATACTCTGTTAATTTGGAAAATACACTTTCAGTCAGGAGTGGGTTTCAAAATGTTTTACTATTGGTTTGGTGGGTATGGCTAGGTGAGGGGCATGTGACTAGGTGGGCGTGGCCAACTTGACATCACTCACATACACTTTGTCACATGAGCATACCCCAAGTCACGCCCACCGAACCGGTGATGAAAATTTTTGACAGCTGGGGGGGGGCAGGCCGGGGCTCTTCGCTATCTCCCAGACAGCGCTGGGGGTGAGCTGAGCAGCCTGCTCTTGAAGTGGTGACTGTGGACGATGGCCCTGGGCTCTCACTCCGTCGGCCCAGGAGATGGAGCCCAGGAGGAAAGAAACAGCCATTCAGGTAGTCCCACCCGGCATCTCTGCCAACTAGAGGTTGACGCGGGAACTCTTCAGAGGCAATGGCCCAACGGAGGAGTTAAATGCTTCTCTCGGTAGGGCAGCCGTGCTCACGGCTCATCAGCTCCTGGCCCGAAGCCTTGTGACCCCTCCCCCCCGACCAAGAGCAGCTCACTTGTGCCTTGAGGCATCTGGTGCAGCCAGAGCCAGCCAAGTGCACTCTGCACATGGGCCGCTCCGGGAGCCCCGAGGCCTTGGTCCAAAGGCATGCGCTCGGCCTGGAGGAGGCGGTGCCATATCTGTGTGCCTGTCACCATGGAAATCCGCCAGTGGCACCAGGTACCACCCAGCGCAGGTAAGCGGGTGACCCCCAGGGGGCGTGGCGCCACTCATGCTGGCGATCCGGAGGGCAGGGGGAATTGGCTACTGCCTCCTACCTTGGGAGCCAGTCGGGGGAGAGCCGGGCAGGGATGAAGGCAACGGCGGAGTCCGGTGCTTGGGTAGGGCAAGGTTAGCACGCTCCCAGGCACCCTGTGGTGCCTCCGCTGGCTCAGGGCACATAGGCGCAGGCAAAGGCTGGGAGGGGGATGCAACACAGGGGGGGCTCCCCACAGCCTCGGATCGTCCTGGCTGCAGTTGAGTCCGCTGCCCTGAGCTGGTGGCTGCACCGCAGGGTGGGGCTGGGAGTATGCTAACCTTGCCCTCCATGCAACACACGGGAGATCCTAGCTGCAGTTTACTCATGAGCATCATTGGCTGGGAGAGGCAAGGAGAAAGGCCAATGGTGCTCACAAATAAACTTGGGCTCCTAAGTGGGATCAAGCCTCCCCGTTCATATCTTCACCTGAGGGCAGCGCTGGCAGCCACTTCCTGAAATCTGTGCTCCTCAATGCGCAGAGGCAGGAGGTGATGGTTTTGTTCGCTGCCTGCAAGCTCCAGAGGGCGAGCAGCCAAGCGAGCAAGCCAGGATCTGCCGGCTGCCTCTAATCTGCAGTTTACTCGAGCACATTTACTCATGAGCATGGTGCTCACAAGTAAACTGCAGATTAGAGGCAGCCAGTGCAGGCGCTTCATCTGAAGGACAGTCAGCCTTTGGCAAAGGCGGTGCCAACTCTGCTCTGCAGCGCTGGGGACTCTGCCGGCATTTGGAGCTGCTACTCGCCATATCTTGGCCAAAGCCGTGTGGGAAAACTCCCTGGGAGTTCCAGGACGCCCTCCTGCCGCTGCGGCTGGGATGGGGGCACTGCCGGCGACTGCTGCTGATCCTGCCGGCGCCACTGCCCTCTCCTCTCTCTGCCTTCTTCTTTTCCTGCTGCCCTCTCCAGCACGTAAAGCTTGCCGGGCTGCACCCTCCCGTCCCCGTCGCAATGCTTACCTGTGTGTAGGCAGGAAGAGGCAGTGGATGTACCTGACAAAGGCAGGGCAGGGCGAGTGTCCGAGCGGGTGGACCGGTTCAGGGGCGTGGTCCAGTGATCACTACTGGTTCTGTGATCCAGGCTGGCATATCACTACCGGTTCAGCCGAACTGGTCTAAACTGGTAGGAACCTACCTCTAGTTTCAGTAATATTATTTTTTTATTCTTGATAGAAAGGCCACAAGCCCTGAAATTTGCAACGCATATAAAAAAACTTTGTAAAACATAGTGATAAAGTCATCTTTTTTTTTTACAACAATGTTATATCTAGTAGTAGTTGAAACATTAACCAAATACGATTTAAGGAAATCTCTAATACACCAGCAATTTTGGTAAAATAAAATGCTCTCATATTTTCATAGTTATAAATCGCTTGCTTACAGCTGGCTATACTTTCAATTATTGTAACTTTCTTAAAATATATGGTACAAGAAATCTCAATATATTGGATCTCAATTCCACGGACTTAGCATGGAATGGATCAATAGTCTGCAACAGGAAATTGTATTTATGCAAATTGTCACAGGATTACTCTCCAATTTAATCAGTTTGTTAATATTTGACACCAGTTTCCCAATTAAATTAAACTGAGTTTATACTGTACTATATTTTAAAAACCACAAGGCCACATTCCATTATTAAATACACTTTTTAAAAAGCAATTTTTGGTTGGAGAATCTGTGGAATATGATAATCACTTTTCTGCTTATTTAGGATATTAAATGATGAACTTTTATTATTTGAAGAATTGTAATGCAAGTGTCACTGATCAAAAGTGTAGAATAGCAGTAAATTGATGATATGTCGATGTCTAGCATGGATCAGCAACTAGAAATGTTCCAGAATTCCTTTTAGATAATTTAACAATTTTAATAAGCCTATAATAAGTTAGGAGTAGTTATTAAAATAAAACAAATTACAGGTGGTACACTTAACATCATTCAAGTTACAAAAGCATTGAAAAAGTAACTTTACAACTCCTTGTACTTATGATGGTCACAGTGTCCCATGGTCACATGATTGCCATTTGCACTCTTCTCAGTCAACTTCCAATAAGCAAAGTGGAGCAGTAAAATTTTATTTCATGTGATGTCTTGTTTAAAAACTGTGGGTGATTTACACAAACCTACAAAAATAGGTTTGTGGCAGTAATGTAATGTTCAACATAACAACTGCATTAATGAGAGTTGCACTTTTCAGTTGTGGTGTTAAGTGAAAAATACCTCTAGATATTCAAAAGCACATACTGTAGAATTTTAATAGATAGAAAATTAGAGAGTTCAGAAAAACATTTTTTCTATCTTTGGATTCTTGTGTGTCTTTTAAAGCAGAAATCAGTGAGCTAATTGACATGTTAAAAATACTATACTATAGAACCTTGATGGCGAACCTATGGTACACATGCTACAGGTGGCACACGGAGCCCTCTCTGCGGGCACATAAGCCATCACCCAGCTCAGCTCCATCACACATGCACGCGTCTCCCACCGGCCAGTTCGTGGTGGAGGAGGCAGAGTCAACTGTGTGGGGGGTTCACACACATGGGTGGGGGGTGAGCACATTGCATTGTGGGTGTGGGCATGCGTGATAGCATGCGCACACAATTTCGGCATGCAAGGAGAAAAAGGTTAGCTATCACTGCTATAGAAGTTAACCACATGTCAATTTTGATCTGAAGGTACACATGAACTAGAAGACAACAGAAATAGCTATTACAATTGATTAATGATTGTTATTGGGATTGGAATTTCTGTTCCTAATCACTGCAGTCATAAAGTGTGATCTCACATGACTGCGTTGGTTAGTGATGGCATACCCTGCAGTCCCTATTGTTGTCATTAAGCAGGGAATTCCCATCTAGTGGCAGCCACCTGCACATCCTCACCTGGTAGCAGCTACCCCTGGCCCCATCATACATCGCAATGCAGTAGTCACTTACCTATCCACTAGACGCCTGTGGGTTGCTTTTGACTTGCAACTTCCTGTCAGTTTCTACACTGATTTTGCTTATTGGCAGCCAGCAAGAAATTGTCAGCATTCTATGGGCACACATGCTGTGAAGTAGAAAATCCATAGGAATGATTCCCTGGGAACTTGTGCATACTATAGCCAAACTCCTCAAGAGAAACAGCTACAAGGATGCAAACAACTCACAAAAACAACTTGCACACTTCCTTTCAAGCTTCCACATTGACTGTGTAGGAAGACAGCAGACTATTTGCAACCTTAGCTGCAAATAGTTGTCAAGCACCCAGATTGCAGTGACATGACTGGGGATTCTGGGCCAATTGGAACATTGAGGCCCAGTTGTGAATACCACTTGTTTAGTACCGTCATGACTTTGAATGGTCAATGAACATTAAACAAGGATATTGAATAATGCCTGTAGTTTATAGCTTTGTGTTATAGATATTAAAGGTGTTATCTAAAAATCCTAATGCTAAATTACTTATTCCCATTAATTGTTTAGAAAGAAGACATCTACATGGTGGAGCACTGTTGCTGGTTGCCTTTCTGTGGGAAGCCCTTTGTATTTTCGCTCTGGGGCTCAGGAATTCGGAGAACCAGGATGGTGGAAACTTGTTCATAATAGGCCCCCTATAATGAAGCCTGAAGGAGAGAAACTTTCTGTGTCTTCTCTAAAAGCAAAAGGTAGGGCTATATGAACTGCGTATAAATCTGTGAATTTCAAGATTCAAGGGAATGGAAAGGGAATGTGTGCAAACTTTGAAAAATTAATTGAGAGTAAATTTTATGCATCACAAAATAAAATAAATCAAATACAGGTAATCCTCAACTTATAGCAGTTAATTCGAAGTTACAATGGCACTGAAAAAAAGTGACTTATGACTGTTTTTCACACTTATGCAGCATTCCCATGTGATCAAAATTGGCAACTAGTTCATATTTATGATGGTTGCAGTGTTCCAAGTCATGTGATCATCTTTTGCAACTTTATGACAAGCAAAGTCAATGGGGAAGCCAGATTCACTTTACAACTGTGTTGCTAACTCAACACTGCAGTTATTCATTTAACACCTGTGGCAAGAAAGATTGTAAAATTGGGCAATTTTACAATTGTCTTCCTTAGCAGCAGAAATTTTGAGCTCAATTGTGGTCGTAAGTTGAGGACTACCTGTACAGAATAATGCGGTTTGAAGTGACCTTGGAGATCTTTTAGTCCAACCCTCTGCTCAGTCAGGAGACCCTATATCATTCAGGCAAATTGTTGTCCAATCTCTTTTTAAAAACCTCCTGTGATGGAGTATCCACAAATTCTGGAGGTTAGCCATTCCACTGATAATTAATTAATAGTTGGATATCTCTGATGAACTTCCATCTATTACTTTTTGTCCTACCCTCGGGTGCTTTGGAGGTCAACCCACTATTCTCTGACAGCCCCTCAAATATTGAAAGACTACTATCAGGTCACCCCACTCCTTCTTTTTGTTAGACTAGAACAGACATGACAAATACAAGGCCCATGGACCAAATCCGGCCCTGGTGCGGTTAGATGTGGTCCGCAGGGCTGCCCTTGAGACATCAAGACATCAGAGCCTTGGCCCTGACCCACCCCAGGGGTGTGCGTATAGAAGGCAGCAAGCATGTGGGGCTGGCATCCTGGTGAAAGGGAAGCACTCAGAATGTGGTCAACCTGTGGGGCAAGACAGTCACTGGGAATGCTAGCTCCTATGCTCTCTCCACTTCCTGTGCTTGTGCCCAGGGGGTGGAACTGAGGCGGTGGGGGCAGCCCCTCACTGTCACCAAAGCAGCCAGCAGTTTGGGGAGGTGAGGAGCTTGTGGGGCACCGAATTGCCCCATCAGGTTAGCCGGTGCGTCTTGTTTCATTCTGACCCAGCCATTCTGAGTCAGCCGCGCCCAGTGAGCGACATTGAACTGGCCATGCCCTCCCAGTCACACCCACCGAGTCACGGTGACCCAGCTACTGCCCTTTGAGGGCAACCATAATGCTGATGCGGCCCTCAATGAAATTGAGTTTGACACCCCTGGACTAGGCAGATATAATTCCAGATATAATGCCACCTTTGTCGTTGTAAAAGCTATTTTTAAGTTTCCTTATCTTTTCATTCTTACTAGATTCTAGATTCCTGCAAGTGTTCTTCATATGATTTAGTCTCCTGTTCCTACTCATCTTTGTTGCTCATCTCTGCACTTTTTCTAGAGCAAGGATTAGCAATGAATTTTTCAAAGGGGCTATGTGAGATGCTGGTATTGTTGCAGAGGGCTGCCACTCTACCCTCTGCTGATGCCCTGTACTCTGCCAACACCCCCTCCCCCCACTCCAGTGCTGATACCCCAATGATGACACAGGCCAGACAAGAACCATTGAAGGCTGCAAAATGCCCAAGTCTATTCTAGAAAATCAACACTCTTTTGTTGTAGTCAAAGCTGGATGCAGTAGAACATAGAACATACGAGCTTGAGCAAGAGATCCTATAACATTTCAGGCAAGTGGCTGTCTAGTCGCTTTTTAAGTTCCAAGGGTATTCCAAGTGTTCAAATGTCAAGATTCTTCTGGATCTCGAGCCTATTTCCACAGTTTGTTGTTGTTTGCAAATTTGATGAGTTACCCTTCAATCCCCTTATCTGAATCATTTATAAAGATATTGAAGATTACTGGGCCTAAGACAGAACCTAGTGGTATCCCACTATGTGGTTGGTCAGCCAGATACTTAAAATACATTTTTCATTCTTAATATCAGTTAGATTTATGCTTGAGACAAAATAGGCTTTGGAGGTGAAGAGTTAGTGCTTACTTGTTTATGCTACCAACCTGACTTTCTTCATTTCATTTCTTCAGGTTCATCTCACAACCTATTCAGTGATTCCACTTGTCTTTCTTTCTTTATATCTTTGTTTTTCTTCTGTTTTCATAATTCTTCCTAGCATCTTCTATATGTTTTTTCTCTTATAAGTTACTAGTAAAACAGTGATGAATAACCTGTAATGCTAGAATCAGATTTCCACAGAACCACTTTTCCCCCTTACTGTGAACATTTTCAGTGATGGTTAACCTTTTTGGCACCGAGTGCCCAAACTGAGCGAAACTCGAAGACCAGCTGGCCAGTGCACATGCGGTGTTGGCCAACATGCCAGAAACCAGAAGAACAGCTGGTGATGGCACGCTTACCCAAAGAGAGGGCTCTGCGTGTCACCTCTGGCACGCGTGCCATAGATTCACCATCACGGCCTTAGATTGTCTTCTGTCTGCATTAGTTAATTAATTTTATCTTCATTTTCATATAGGAAAAAAAATATAGTGAAATCCTAAAATAGATTTAATGCAGTTAACCATATAAAAAATATATCCAGGAATGGCTAACCTCACACATATACCTGGTCTCATTCACTTTGCACCTTCACTGCAACCATTCTTTTCTTGGTACTCTTCTACACATTATTAAATATCAGACTTACAACCAACAAAATATTGCACACTTTGATTTAAAATATGCAAGCATATAAGTATCTAAACTTGCTATGAATTTTTAAAATACTTGTAATGTAATCAGCTATAATCAGCATTGTAATGCTGATATTATGATTATGGAAACTCATTGCTTGTTTTCCGGCAGGTTCAAAACTCTCTATAGATCCAATCATTACAGTGGAGGGGCTTAGAAAGCGAGTGAGCCGCAATCCAGTAGAATCTGCTATGGAGCTGAAGGAGAAGCGGTCTCGCACTCAAGAAGCCAAAGAAATAAGGAGAGCTCAGAAAGAAGCAGCTGGCTTCATGGACAGGAGTACATCCTCTACACCGGTCAAATTCACCAGTCGAAACAGGCATTCAGACATTATGCTTGAAAAGGGGGAGGTGGTTGATTTTTCCTCCCTCAGTTCTTCTGATCAAACACCTTTGACCAGCCCATCTCCTTCTCCCTCTCTGGATTTTTCTGCTCCGGGAACTCCAGCGTCACATTCAGCTACACCTAGTCTGCTTTCGGAAGCTGATCTTATTCCAGATATAATGCCACCTCAGGCCCTTTTTCATGGTAAAAGCAATTTTTAAGTTTTCTTATGTGATCATTTTTATTAGATTCATTTGCACAAACGTATTTTGACTATGGTTGTATACTGAGATATGTAACATTTATTAAGAATGGGTATAGGACAAAGAATATATAATTTTCATGGTTGCAGCACTTGAGAAAATAAAACAGTATCCAAATAAACAAACACTTAATGTGTAACATAGCAAATATTAATTGATCTTTTTTCTTTCCTTTTTTATTAAGACACATAAATAAATACAACCACAATTAATATACAAAAGGAGGCATTGAATAATTTTAAAAAGCCCACAATTTGGAAATGTATCTAAATAGGTTGGTAGTCTTAAGAATTTAAAGATGTTAAACATGATAGTTATACTTTGCCCAGAAATACATTTATATAGACAGAAGTGTAATTTATTATTATTATTTATTAAGTTTATTTGCCACCAATCTCATTTTGAAGCGATTGAGCAGCATTAATATTAGTAATAAGTGGTTTGACAGCTTCAAAATTCAGTGTACATATTTGATTAGAAAAAGAAAAATGATACCTTATGATAATATTCATTAGGTGTGCCTATGCACACTTTCCCTGTGTTGAGATGTGGAAAATGGACATTATCATCTATCCATCCAGGGGAACAGAGCATAATTAAATATAATAACAATATTTAAACAGCAGAGACAAATGTTAGCTAATCTGCTTAATCATCTCAAAGTTGATAGGGCATGGATAGCTTTGCTTTTTGGTTTCAAAATTACATAAAGCTGAATCATGTGCTCAGGAAGTAAAGTAAAGTAAGTTTAAATAGGAAAGTAATAAACTGAGACAGGGCCATGAAGGAGAAGAATGTCTCTGTGACTTACAAATCATACTAATATTTTCTTTTCCAGGATTAATATGGAAAAAATGTTCAGCTATTGAAAGCTGAACACAAGGAATGAATAAAGGAAAGAAGATATATGTCTCTATATTATGGCAATGTAGATAATTACTAACAATACCAAGGACTGCAAGAAGCTTATCTGTCCTGGACCAAATACACTAAACTGACTGCTCTCTTGAGATGAAAAACAGCAAATAACATTTTTGAAGCATTTAATATGAGTGCATGATAGGACTTAGAAGTAAACTATTATACCAAAGAGATAGGAAAATAGTATGGGTAGCAATTAAGATAGACAGATGTACATTGGAGTACCCTTGGAAATGCTACAGATTATCATCAAGACTAGGTTGAAATGGCAGACCTCTGTTTCTCATTTTCTCTCATGCATATATACAGACACATTTTCTCTGTGTGTGTTTTCCACATTTCTGTTCGGAATAACATTTATACAAATGAGGGTAATTGGAAGAAATTTCATTATATTTAGAAAGTAGTAATCCGATATGAATAAAACTATCCTTAGTTGTAGGGTTGTTTAATTTTTCAACCAATATAAATACTACTGATTTACAGAAAGTTGTACAGGTAATCATTGACTAACGACACAATTGAGCCCCAAATTTTGTGACCTTTCTTGCCAGTCCTATTAAGTGAATTACTGCAGTTGTGAAGCTAGTCAGAGGGTTGTTAAGTGAATCTCATTTCCCCATTGACTTTGCTTGTCAGAAGGTCACATAATCATGGGACACTGCAACCATCAAAAAGGTGACTCAGTTGCCAACTGTCTAAATTTTGATCATGTGATAGCAATAGCAATAGCAGTTAGACTTATATACCGCTTCATAGGGCTTTCAGCCCTCTCTAAGCGGTTTACAGAGTCANAACCATAGAGTAGGTTATTGCCCTAAAAGCTCTGCCATCACCTTTTAATTCATTTTTAACATCACTTGATTCTTTTAAAATTTTATACAATTTTTAAATGGTTTAACTATTTATTTGTACATCACCTAAAGTGCAAACGTGATGGACAGGAACAATTTAAAAATTTGATAAATAAAAATGCTTAAATTGACATATTCAGCCACCTTATAATCATAGGCTAATATACATTGCTATATCTGTTTTTTACTGGTAGAGCATTAATTGCTATATTTTCTTCCTGTTATTGTAATTTCTTAATTTAGGCCTTATTCTTCTAACAAGATCTAAGTGTTCATTAAAAATAAAAATCCCTGAACTAGTGTTCTTAATATAATATAAATATGCCAGTTACAGCAGCTGACCTTACATGATTAGTATTATAGCAAAACTAGCATCTCTGTATCAAGGGCCTCAAAGTACCCCAGTTGGTTGCTTCCAATTTCTTTCTCTCTGCCTAGAGACTTACAATAAGGAAGTCCGTGTTTCATCATTGTGCCACGGAGTCCAACAAATTTGGCTCTTGAATGCACTTCCAGTCTTCTCTGTTGCTATGCGCTGTCCTCTCTGTTGCCATGTCTGGATTTCTTACGATGACTTTTTCAAACAGAATGATTCCTACTGCCCTGACTTTCCCAGCCAATTGGGAACAGTTGGCAGGTGTGTTTATGTGTGCATAAAAATAAAAGCAGGCCCATAAATTACAGTACTCTACAGCAAGGAGAACATGCACAGAAAGTGCTTGTAGCTGAGAAAATACGGCTAGATTCAGTTTGAAAATTAAAATGCTTTTCTTGTCCTGGTTTAGTTCTGATTGAGGTTGCTTCCTATGTTTCTGGTTCAAGTTCAGGGTCATGATCCATGTATTTGACCTGAATTAGTTTAAGTCAAGCTCATACCATAAAATGCAAATTATCTAGATTGCAGTGTTGACTTCCAAAATCAAACAGAACAAATTATTTGGTTTAATTTGAATTGTTTATAGTATCCTAATTACCTTCTTCAAATTGTTGCATTTGGATTATATATGGCATAATGAGATGGCACACAATTCCTAAATAAATTATGCCATCTCAATTCCTCTATTGTACTGGAAATGTTTATTTAAAAAAAAAACCTGTGTGGAAGTTTATATAATCCAGAACACTAACTCATTCTCAATTCAAGTGTGTATTTAAAAAGAAGAGATCCTAGAGTTTCCAGATTATCAGAAGCAAGGGAGGAGTGTCACTGTTTGGGGCAATCATAGAAAATGTTTGTCAAAACAAAATGAATCCCGATATAACCCAGTGCTAGGACTTTGCAGGTGATAACCAGCACTTTGAATTAAACCCAGAACCTAACAATCAGTGCAAAAACCCACATGTTATGCCTTAACTTTCTGGTTTGACAAATAGAGGCTACCATGCCATTTTTTTTAAAGAAAACCACAATTAAAGTAAAATAGGTATGCTATTAGGCCTAGAATATAATTCGTTTTGTTTTTCATTAATTCAGTATAATTATCTTGCTTAGTCATTGTTATCAACAACAATGTTTTCCTACTCCACTAGTGGTTAAATTACCCAAAAAAGAGACATGATATATACTTCATATTAATACAAAGGGTTTAGAGAATACATGTAGAGAATGTATAAGCTCTAAGATACAAATCATCAGCTGCAGATAACAATATGCTGAGTGATCTTATTCAGAGATTTCATGTAAATGATGAACACCCAGAGGGTTTCTGCAATGTAGAAATACCATGATATCTTATGATAGACTATTTTCATTCTGAATTTTGAGCTCAGGAAATTAAATTAAATGTCCCTAAATTAATGGGAAAAGGCACTTTCGACAATGTTATGATTTACCTGTTGTTTTTCATCAGTATTTTTACTAATGATCTCACTACCATATTTACAATATTATTTCCCCAGAAGCATAGATATCTTCTAGGAGACATCATCAACTTTTCATTTTCTAGTGATTCCCAAAACATTTTAAAAACCATCGTGCAATTTTTCAAACCTTACTCGTTACTGTTACTCATCTGAAACGTGAGATCTATATTTTGAAACTGTTTGTCCCAAATTATTTTTTTACATGTTCAAATGTCATTTTCCCAACAAACCAGGTTTAGTTGTTTTACACCAGTGTTTGGGCAATGTTCCAAACTAGATCCCAGATTCTCAAACTAGCCATTACAAACTGCTCCCTTGCCCACAGGCTATGCCCAGATTGTCCCTTTGGCATAATTACACGTAGTTTAAGAACTAATGCTCTAGTTGTCATCTGTATAGCAATAGCAATAGCAGTTAGACTTATATACCGCTTCATAGGGCTTTCAGCCCTCTCTAAGCTGTTTTCAGAGTCAGCATATTGCCCCCACAGTCTGGGTCCTCATTTCACCCACCTCGGAAGGATGGAAGGCTGAGTCAACCTTGAGCCGGTGAGATTTGAACCGCTGAACTGCAGATAGCAGTCAGCTGAAGTGGCCTGCAGTACTGCACCCTAACCACTGCGCCACCTCGACTCATATTGAACTTGATGTGTTCAGGGTTCACCTAAATCTAATTTCCCTTTCATATAAATTATAGTCCTGGTGGTTCATATAATTTTGCCCTACAGAAATATGTAACTTTCCTCACTAAATAATTGAGCAACTATATTTTTACTTTTCTGTTAAATTGGGTTCTCTTTATCTGGTTTTAAGACTTGGGGAGAGAATTTACCAGACTTTAGATTATATGTATGCAGAAATATTGAACTTTCAAAAAGGCTTACAAACTTTTAAGTGCCATTGTATATCCATCTTTTTTCTAAAAAATGCAACATCTAATAAAATGATATTCTATTTTTGTTTATTTTCTGATAGCTTTCCAGACACCACACTGTACATTTTAATTTTACTATCTCAGCAGGTGTCATGATTGTTTTGAAAAAATACTTTATAATTAATGTGATTGGATGTTCTTGATTCCTGCTATTTATCATTTGTCATTTTCTACATTCCATATGTGCTAAAATAAGCTAAACATAAAATATTCCTAAGGGTACCGAATTTATTTTATTCTGATATCAGAGACCGAGAAATGAAAAATACTTTCATTAATCTACACTGCCACCTTAGATTCACAAGGGACAGTTAAGCAATATGCCAGTAAAAATCCCACAGGTGAAATGTTTACAGAAAAAATAATACCCACTGGAATTCTTTTTCCCTTTAAGAAAAGTTGTGAAATACAGATGTTAAAGTAGAAGCTAGGATGCATGAATTTAGAATTGTTTTTATTTATTATTTAAATCATTTTCTTTCTTATGAATGTCAATGTATTGTTTGCTTACATTTTTCCTGTTGTTAACAATGGAAATATTACTTAACATATTGAAAAAGCTGCCATTATTCAAAGTTATAAAATGAAATGTAGATCTAAATGCTCCTTGTTTTGATGGGGACTTAGCCCCTATCAAAACTATTAAAAGTATTAAAGAATTTCAATTAAAAGTATTAAAATAATTTTAATAAAAATTTGCACTTTCTCTAGGTATGGTGATATGAGAAGACAAATTGGTTTTGAGATTCGGGATATGTGGTATAATCTGGGTAAGAATCCCAATATTTGATCTTTAGGTATACTGCATGTGTGAATTTATGCCTGATTGGTAAAATTTGTGGACATATAATTATATATTTATTTCTGTATCACTCTGTAATGATGTAGTTGGCATATAGTAAATATACATACAAAATGCTTTTTATTGTTATGGCTTGTGCGGCAAAGCCATTGACAGATTTTTTTGAGGTGACATATTAGTTAATGGGTATAAACTAACTAATTTCAGGAATTACCTTTCTTGAAATTTATTCATTAGTATATAGGATGAACAGGTTTTTTTGAAAGTAGGAGATTGGCTTTGTTTTTAAGTATTTGAAATATATAACTAGTTTTTTTTTATTTACTGCAACTTTGTTGCTTCAAGTTCATTGGTATCTTTACGTCTAGTGCAGGGGCGTCAAACTGGATTTCTTTGAGGGCCAGATCAGCTTTGTAGTTGTCCTCCACAGGCTGGCAGGATGAGATGGGACAGATGCCTCCTGCAGCACCCTGCTGGCCAAAACGGGGGGGGGGGTGTACGTGGCTCCCACGCACTGTTTTTGCCCTCCATGGCCTCCTGTAGCACTCTGCTAGCTAAAAACAGCCCCCTACGGCCCATTTTCAGCCAGCAGAGGCAACATGGGCCGGTCTTTTGCTATTTCCAGGTCACCCCCACAGATCAGATTTAAGCACCCCGCAGACCAGATCCGGCTTGCGGGCCTTGAGTTTGCGGCTTGCAGGGCTTGAGGCCCTGGTCTAGTGAATGACCATACCACTTATAAATATTATAGAAAGCACATAGTACTTTAAGGAAACAATATTTAAATTACTTTATAGATTTTGGTGAAAAGGCTAATACATTTTTCTTATAATGTTCTTTATTTTTTTTAACTCACTACCTGGAATATACTTTTTTTTATAACTGAATGTATCTCTAGAACAACAACAAATCTTGTACAGAAGTAGGCAACATGGTTTCTTGTAGATAGTTTGAAATACAGCTCCTATCAGCCAGAGTAGTATAGATTGTGGAATTTGTAGCCCAAAATACATGGAGAACTATCTGGCCCCTGGACATTCCTCTCTTATCATTTAAGAGGATGTCCCCCTGGAGGCTTCACACACAACTGTTAATACACTGAAAAAGTTTCCACTTTAACTAGCTGAGAGATAAATGGAACTCTAAAAGTGAAAGTTGTCCAGGTTCAGATTTTTGTAACTTCACTTTATTCTCTTCAATAAATCTTATTAAACCCATAGAGAGCCTTTTTTTTCTGTTGAAATGGTCTGCCAAGAGATTGATAGTTTCTACAATTTAGGAAAATACTTTCTTTAATCTGATTGTGAATTCTGGACTACAGTTATATCTTATTAAATCTGCACATTTTTTGTACATTTGCTGTAATACATAGCATTGATACTTCTCCAGAAATGATTATTCATAACATATAATGCAGTGATCCATAGAAACATACGATTAAAGCTAAAATTGATCTATGGAGCAATTTTGAAATAGAAAAAGATGGGAAAAAAACCACAATTCGTTGTATTTTAATAAAATAGTTTATAATATATTTAAAATATTTAGTCATATTTTTTTGCACTTTTATTGTGGCCATTTTCTTATAATTTTTGCTTTATTAAGTAATAAAACATCAGATCAGGACAATCGTTCATGTGCAAATATTGTAGATTGAAATATCTGAAAATCTCTAAAGATATTGTACATGCAACTATTTGCTTTTTAAATTGACATTCACCTAAATGTTGGTTGAATCTTATCTACTATATTTTTAAAGTACCGCAGTGTAAAAGTGTTGAATTTAAAATACCAATTTTATGAATAATTGTTAGCCAGTGTTGTAGAATGTTCAGTGTAATAAAGCAGTCAATATTCTAATATATCTCCTGATAATTGCATGTAATAAGAAAGAAAATTAATATAATAGTAATTCTATGTTAGAAATACAATTTGCTAGAACAGTTATGTGGTAAAGAAAATGACAGTAGACATTGCCCCTTCACAAACTTATTTTCTTTACCAGTGTGATAATAGATTGAATCAAGAATAAAGCAAAATAGAGTACATAGTATTAAACAATTGAAACAGCCTTATATGAACTCTGATCTTGAAACCATAAATTACAAATCACAAAACCTTTTAGATAATTTTCCTAGAAATCTACTGCAACTATTCCTATGCTGATGCTATTTGTTGTTTCTGATTATCCTTTATCTAGATCAGGGGTAGTCAACCTTTTTATACCTACCGCCCACTTTTGTAGTAAAATTTTCTAACCGCCCACCGGTTTCACAGTCATGGTGATTTATAAAGTAGGGAAGTAACTTTACTTTATAAAATTTACAA